TCTGGTAACTAGAGGCGCGAAGAGGTCCAAAGTTCCTTAGGCTATCCCAAAGGCATAGGCGGCAAGTCTTCGCAGCCTCTTGCCCTACCGCCGAACAAAAATAGATTTGGTCAAATGCCAACTAACCTTCTAATGTGCCCTAAATGCCCGGAGGGTATTCGGTACGGGCTACAAATGTCGTATCCACTTTCCAACATGTGTGGTCCAGAGACAAGATCAATAAATAATGCATAAGGCGTAAGATGAGCATAGTAACCTTACCTGAGCATGTAGAGATAACCATTTTTTATAACTCCTGCAACAAGAATCCTTCAACAGATCAAAATAGTGCGTTGCGCATATTCTTTTACCGTACATTACTTAAACTGACAAATTTGGACCTTAGCGAACATCTAAAAAACGCGTTTCTATGGATTTTGAAACTTCAACTTTTAAAAGCCAGCACGTTCACGTTTTTTAAGTCTACCACATTCATTCTTCACCCTCGTTATCTTCATTTCTGTAAGTATGGGCACAATCCTTAGCCTCATAATAATTTACACTTTAATATTCGTTTTTGCGAATTTCCTTGAACTACTTTAGTCATGACTTCCTTTTGATTCTTGTTGTATTATTTGCAATGATTTCTTTATTTTATTTTTCCAGAGGAAACTTGGCTTTGCTTGTTGTTCATAGAATTACTTGAATAAGGGCTAACTTTTGTACGGGAAATGACCGTTGCTGACCTGTACGCCTTACAAGCCTATGTTCTAGTTATGATAGTTTATCTTTTACCTAATGTCATTATCCCGGTTAGCCAGATTTAAAGACGCATTAGAAACGAAAGTCATAGCAAATCTCTCCTTTTTCTTGCAATTGAAAAAACTCCAATAGCCGTAGCTAAATCCCAGTAAAAGTAAGCCTTCGTAGCAGGCGAAGAGCGTAAGAGTAAGGCTGGATTGAAATCCAGACTAGCGAGTAGAAAATATTTGCGAAAACATAAAAAGTGCAGCTTCAGTTAATTACTTCAATTGATGTAATTTTTTCTTATAATTCCCATAAATAGAAGCAATGCGGCAAATCTCAACGGAACGTTAAATTCATTTATTATCGCTGATTCCTTTCGTGGAAATAACAGTAACATTCAAATATGGAACAAC